CAGATTTGTACAGCAGTTTTTGTGTAGTTTGGGCCAAACAAACAGAGTCATTGTAAGAACAAAGAGTGCAGCTTTAAAAGATTTATTTGGGAGAGAAAATGAGGGCAAATACTAAAGGATGAGTCTGGTGATATATTGTAGTCTCTGAGAGATAACAGCCCCCTGATGAGACTGAATTGATCCTACTAACAAGTACTGTGTGCATGAAAAAAACCAAGATATTTCTCTTTCTTCTGTGCTAAATTTCCCAACAAATGCTCCTGCTTGAGTGATGTTTTATAAAGCCAACAGCAGATACATCTTTAACCATTTCTCTTTTCCAGACTAAATCAAATCACATGCCAGTTTGAAGAGACTTACCAGTGAACAGGTACCAGAAGTTGTTGGGTTCAATGGCTTCCTGGTCTCCACGCCGGCCCGTCTTCCTGTATTTGATCTTGTAAGCTGTGATGATCCCATTCTGGGCACTGCGTGGAGGAGGCTGCCAGGATACTTTGATGCTCTAGAAAAAAGAAATAGAAAACAGTAAACAAAGGTGCCAAACATCATCTGACTGGTGATGAGGTTCATAGAGTTCATAGTCCTTCATACAGTTTCACTTCGATTCTTATTGTCCTGCAAATGTCTTGCGTGGTTGTCCTGACCCTGGTTATACCAAAGGTTTCGTCCTGTTAAAAGAGAGGTTTTTCTTCCCACTGTGGACAAATACTTATTCAAAAATATTCGTTTGATTTTTTTCTGGTCATTGATGGTTGCTCTCTATTATCGTAGGGTCTTTACCTTACAATATAAAGCACCTTGGTGCTTTATAAATAAAACTGAACTGAATCTAATTGGTTCTCTTTATGGGTCTCTCTGTTGGTTCTTGAACTTCTTTGAGGTCATTGTGAGTCTTTTTGAAGCAACTTTGTGCACCTTTGCAGTTGTTTTCCATTGTCATGACCCTGACTCATTTCGAAGGACAAAATATGGAGATCACACAGAAGAAAATGACATAAATCAAACAAGTCCAAACAACTCCACAAGAGCAGGAGGCAAGACAGCGCAAGACACACTGATTGCTTTGGTGACTGATGCTAAGTGAGCCACTCCCCTAATCCATGGAGCTACAAAAACCTGGCAATGCATCTAGAGTCCTAAGGCCCATCAGAATTTGTTCCAGTTATTTGGGTAGTATAGTTATATATTTTGTAGTATGTATTTTATCTGTTTCTTTAAAATTCTCCTGCATCCCACTGTATCTTTTTAGATTTCTTTATAATCCCTATTCATCACTTTGTGAGCATGTTGGGCTCATTGGTAGTTGCTGTTTGTCTCTTTTTTCACCTGTTTCTGGACATTTTACAACTCTTTTTGAATGATTTGGGTTAATGTGTAGTCCAAATTATGTGTTTGTAATTATTTTTACATCGCACTTTCTGTGTCTTTCTTGCTCGCTTCTGGTGTGGTATTTTTGTCTCTATGTGGTTTGATTCACAGGTTTTATGGGCAGTTTGGGTCATTTAATGTAGATTTAAAATCTCTTAATTTTGGGTAATAATTCAGAATCATTTCCAACCACCAACATAAAATTTTGTTCCAAAATTATAGACCTATTATCAGAGCGATAATGTGGCTTTCAGTTTAATAGTCCATGTCCAAATTAACTTTTAAAATCTGAATTAAAAAAAGAACATTAAAGACTCATTTTTTCAGCTTCAACCCTCACCAGCTCACATGGAGTATTAATTATCTAGAGGCATACCAAGGTTGACGTGACAGTATGATCTTTACATTGATATCATGGTTGTGATATGGTCCATGGATTTGGGAATTACAAAGTGTTTTCTATTCTGTATGTATGGGCAAATAAAACTTCAACTGCATGCTGTCAAAATATATCACAAACACATAAATACAGCATCATTTCTGGAAGTATTGGTGTTCATCGCAGGAGAGTGTGAAAACGGTCTGCATGCAAATCTGATCAGCAATCAACAGAGAAGCTCATCTGGCTTCTGTTGTGTTTCTATTTCAATTTGCACGTGTGTGAGTGTGTATCTGTGTGTTTGGGTGTGTGTCGCATGAATTTTAATTGCTTTATTTGCATGTTAACAACCCACCTCTGACACACACAAACAGACACACACACGCGTGCTCACACACAACAGATGTTTGCCTGGCCCCCAGTGTGCTCTGCTCTGTGAGGCAGCTGCCATCAACCAGCCTGCTGATATACTCAGTGTGACCCAAAATGTGTGTGTGTGTGTGTCAGGTGGGCTGAACATTAATGAATGAAGATTAATGAATTAGAATAGAAAAATCCTCTCTGTGTCTCCGTTGCTTTTTTCTCTCATCATATGAATCTCTTTCAGACGTTCACCTGATACATGTGGGTGTAACTGATAATAACAGAAATCCCAACTTAAACTGATAAACTGGAGGATATTTGGAAATTTAACGGAAGGAGGAAATGATGTGTATTGGATAAAATAATCCCCTGTGGCTTGTTTTTGACATCATTACCCTCAGTCAGAATTATAGGTCATGTGACTTTTAATTAAATTCCCCTACTGTAGAGATCAGACACAGCAAATATACTGCTTAGTAGTTTAGCAAGGTTAGCCTGCGTATAAAGTTATAAAGATAATTTATCCTCAGTACAAATGCGTATGTAAAATATCCCAAATTAAAACGTGTTTTTGCTTTGTTCATTTAGTTTATTAAGCATACAAGATGTGATCAAACCTCAGTTATATGCATTGAATATTAAAACTACCACACAATAAAGTGAAAAACTTTAAACTAAGGGGTCTAAAACATCTAGAAATCTAAAGATTCTGTACTAACCTCAGACTATATCTTCTTCTAGTTACGTATTTATGTTATTTCTCTTTATTGTTAGACTGGAATTTGTTGATTATGAGCTTGATCATGCAAAACGTGCCTGGCTGAATTTCATGAAACTTCATGAAGAAGTGGAAACATCCCTACACTTTGGTGTGTACTACATTGCAGATGTCGTACAACAACAACAACAAACTCTGGTGAATGGCTGACATGTGTTGCAAAAGAGATTGTAGATATAGCATGCCTAATATGAGAAGTTTTTATGTAGATGTGTAGAAGGGTATTAACTGAGACACTGGCTGAATTAGGTGGCAATAAAATTATGTGATTAGATGACCACACTACAGAGCCCAGGTGCTTCAATAACACTGCGAAGCTTTAGTGAGTTATGTAACTTTTCCGTTAGGACCCAACAGGCTTGGGCCGTGGTGCTGCACAGGGTTCGTGCATGTTGTTCATGAAGTCATACCTCAAGGTGCTTTTTAAACATTATTGAATTAAGTGTGATTTGTGATGTGACATTTTTAATACATGCTGGACGCTCTGTTTTGAGTTTATATTCATTTTGTAAAAATTGGAGTCTTAATCAGTTTTACCTCAGTGTTGCATCTGACCAGTTAATTATTCTTTCCAGTTTCCAGTATAAGTACTTTTGGTCTTTTTTAAAGACTGTGCGTGTTGCTTTCCACTCACCTAAAATGACCAGACACATGTGTGTCACCAGTCCTTGAAGTTAAAGTTTTGAATAGTTCTCATAGTGTTGTGTATTTGGGTCTTTGGTTCGTTATTCAGCCAATCTAGAACCAACATCTTTTGTTGTCACCCTTTAAAAAAAAAAGGTAACTAAATGGATTGTCATATGCCAACATGTGAACACACATTCACATGTTGCCGTATTAACACATATTTAAAAAGACACAGAGCAATGGTGTGTGGATCCCTGCTTCAGCTGCGGTGAAGTCATTGGGCCAACAAGCAGTTTAAATATTCAGCCAGTGTTACTGTGAGGATGGCCGCAGAGGAATTCATTAACATTTAGCTGCACCTGTTCCCTCTGCTGCTCCTCATCCAGCTAATTGATTACAGCAGAACTGATTATGAGAGGAAAGAGAGGGAGGAGGGGGAAGAGAGGAGAGGCAGAAGGATGGAGGGGGCTGGGGATAGGGACAAACTGAATATATGTGAGAGTCGGCCAGATTCCTCCATACACACTCTTTCTCGCTCTCTCTCACTCTCTCTGGTCGGGCATCGCCACGTGCTTCATTAACTAATTAGCCACTTTGACAGGACACAGTTGGATGTGAGGTCTCCATGGAAACAGTTCAGAAGTTAAATTCATGTTGCAACAACTCCCATGGGAACAAAAAGAGGGAAACCGTGAAGGAGGACAATACTGCTAGCATACCGACTCTCCATCTGGAGAGCAGTGCTCCTCTTCCTCCTTAACAGCTCCTTTTGTTCATTTTAGGCTCTTTCACTAAATATACCACTTTCAACGTAACTTTAAATGCAATTAAGTCCTACTGAAGGTACTAAGGCTCATCCAAATGCACAATCTAAGGAACCAAGGTCAGATTTCACAGTCACTCGGGTGGACAGATGAACTCACATGTGGTACGACACCAGTGACACTGCAGTGAACCTGAACACAGTTTTGCAGTTTTGCTCACCAACCAATGGCAGACACTGTCTGAACTGACATGGACACATCGTCTGAAAAGAAAACATATGGATAGAATTTCTGTATCCAAAAATTTGAAGCTATTAAATAGGCACATCATAATGTTCCTTGACTCTGCCTGTAAAAATCTAAAACACTCCCTCATGTTCAGTATTATTATCTCATGAATATCTGCACTGCTTTTGGCTGCATGGAAATATCGTTTTGACAACTTGCACTTGTGTCTCATTCACACTAGCTGGATCTCCATCAGTGTGTCACTGAGTGACCTAAGTTCTAGTAAATCGTGGCAATCTCAAACAAAAGAAATCTTTCCTCTGTTCTCCCTCAGTTGCCTTTAAAAGCTACAGTCGAACTTTAAAAATGAAAGTCTTGATGATAAATTAATGGAGCACAAAGGTGAAAAAAGACAGGCACAACCCCAGTCTCACTTCTCAACTGCTCGGCCATAGTCGGACACCCAGTTCTCATGACATCTAACAAAATGTGTCAGTTTGAAACAGTAGTTCATGTTTTCTTGTTTTATCGATGCACACTGTCATCAGTGTGCTTTTAGACTGAATATTCCCATTCTTCATTATGTATGTGCTGAAAACATGCCTCTAAAACAGCCATCCATCCATCCAGGTGGTAGGAGAATAAACACGCATGTATCAAACATCCTTTGCCACAGCCATGTTTTCCAGGCACTCCTAAGGGATGCCAAGGCATTTTGAACCATATACGTACAGAATCCTTGTGGCAAGCCGTACATTTGCTCTGTGCTCTGCTTCCAATTTTCATAGCCATAGAATCTCCAAGAATAGACACCCAGGAGGCTTGATCAGTTGCACCAGCCACCTCGTCTGGCTCTTTTCAATGCAAAGGAGGTAGCGTATCTCCAAGACTGACCTCAGCCTCCCGAGAGAGAAAACTCATTCTCGCCATTTGTATTCACAACTTTATTCTTTCTGTCACCAACCAGAGTGCATGACTATAGGTGAGCGAATGTA